TCTCGAGGGCTCCGTCCTCATGATCTAAGCACCGCCCAAGGCCCAGCTGCTAAGGCCGTCACCATGGCAGTTGGGACTTCAACCTGCGACTCTTGTGGGGATACAAACATTCAGGCCATAGCAGGCATATTGGGGAGAAGGGGAGTTTGCACTTCATCCTGAGGGTTTGGAGAGACACTGAAGGGATTTCAGCACGACAGTGACCCCTCACGGACCCCACACTCCTGCACACCCCATCCTAGGAGCTGTCAGTAGCCTGACGGGATCCCGGTTCCACTGAGAAACAAACCTATGAGTCTTGCGCTTTCGGGCATTTTAAGCAGCTCATCCGTGTCCTCAGCGGCTTCTCCAAGGAGCCGAGTTGCCATCCAGCCATAGGAACGAGCCCCTTAGGGTTTAACTAATTCAGTGCTTGATTCTTTTCTTTCCCCATTTGTCTGATGCCTTGAAGAATCTGGTAAAAACCTGTGAATCCCCTCCCCCAACATGCACACATTCCCCCGATCACGCCTCCAACTGCTGGTTCATTAGAGCCTCTGACCACCTTCCTCGGGGGCAAAGGGAAAGCCTCTGCCTCAGGTGCCAGTCTGGGCACCCTCTTCCCCTGAGAAGACCTGGATATGGAAGGTGGACACGCCGGCCTCCCTCCCTGCCGAGGCCCAGCACACAGCCCTGCAAGGCCACCCCAGAGCACCCACTGGTCAGACAGTGTGTCCCGACCTCCTGCTTGTCCCATCATGAAGGTGAGGCCCCCACACACCAGAGCAGCTGTTTCTACTCTGACGTTGAGTCTTTAGCCCCCACCTCCGGGCTCCATGGCTCGGACCCTCCGGTTTGGCCTCTGCCCAGGCAGAACTGTAAGCAGGGTGCCCAGTGGGCCTCACCCTGTATATGCCCCGCCTTTGGGTGTGCGTGGCTCCTATGGACGTGATGAGCTATGACTCCTGTACTTACGTTCAGTCATTCGACAAACAGAGATCCTGCAGGTGGGTCTAATCAAATCACACAAGCCTTTCACAGGCAGAGTGTTCTCTGCTCATCGCTGAAGAGGAAGTCAGAGATTTGGAGCAAGAGGGATTTGAAGGTTCTTACCGCGGGCTGCACGTGAGAGGTGTTCAGGCTGGAACCTTTGTTTTGGCCTTGTGAGTCCCGAAGCAGAGAACTCGGTCATGACAATAAGTGGGTGTTAATTTAAGGCTCTAAGTTTGTGGTAATCGGTGACACAGGACAGAAACTACTGCTGCCTTGATACCCTGGCTCCCCCTACCTGGCTGACAGCTGGCTTGCTCAGGAGCCTGATGAACTCACTCTGGCAGCGGGGGGAATACTGAAACTTCTGGCTCCCACAGGCACAGGGGACCCAGGTCCTCCCCTTGTGGATTCCAGGGGTCCCCCCACCCTGCCCTCAGGAGCCCCCGGTCAGCGGAAGCCAGGCACATTCCCTGCTAACACATTCTGGCACACGATGGCTCAGGACCTTGAAGCCTAGAGCACAGGAGGCAGAGCGAATTCTCCTGGTGGGGATCTGGGATGGCGTCCTGTCGAGGTGGGGGTCCTCATCACGAGGACAGGGAACGCTGTTAGAAGCCCGATGTCTACTCTTTCCTTCTGGCTCACAGAAGAGAGCCCTGATGGTCGGTCAGTGGCACAATCACCAGCAAAGGACTGCATTCCCAGTCCCTCTTGTGGGTGGGTGTGCTTGGGGACGGGGTTCTGGCCAGAGATAGGAAAGCGGAAACGAAGTATGCCCCTCTCTGGGCTGGCAGTCAGGGAAGTGGGTGGGCCCGCCTTTGCCTCTGGGCCCCTTCCAACAGGCTCTGCTGCAGGCAGGGGAGTGGCCATCTCCTACCCCACAGATGGGAGCAGCCCCTTAAGGAAGGCAGAGCAACAAGCCTGCAGGAGCCTGGGCCTCCCAGAGCACAGCCACCAGCCAGGCTTAGACTTTTACACAACTGAGTTACAGAAAGAAACTGCTTGTTTAAACCAAGAGGGTCTCTTTCACAGCCAGCAGACATACGTTTTTATGAACACTGTGGGGAATCTTCCCATGCAAGCAACAGGGATGGCTGCTTTCACCTCTTCCTTCCCCACATGCCCCTAAAATAACAGTAAGGGGCTAAAGAAAGGCTTAAACCCACATGGACAAAAGGAAGGAGATAGAAGAGGACAGCAGCCCAACTTCAGGAGCCAGAAATCTCATGGACATGTGGTTCCACTCAGTAGTCCCAAGAAAGCTGAACCTTACGCTGTCAGTAGAGAAGGGGAGAAAGAGGCAACTTTGCCCTGAAGGGCCCCAAGGGCTGAGCATCTGGGGGTTGGCATTATGGTGGACTGGCAGCCAGAGGGTTTAGGAAGTCTGTTTAGGAAGCAGGCACATCCCCAGGTACCCCGTCCAGCAGACCACTGGGCGTTTATTTTTGGCGAGATCGGGTCTCTGGGACAGGGGCCCAGGCACAGCTGAGAGCAGGAACTTCCTACTAACAATGAGAGTTCCTGTTATGTGTTGAGCCCCCAGTCTTCTCCGTCAGGAGGCGCCCAGAAGGCTGGCAGCCAGCTTATAACATCCAGAACGGAGAGAGGAAGTTTCTTCTCAAGACCCCTACCAGCCCAAGGAAAGAAACACTGCCTGCTGACGCCTGGGGAGGGGGCACCCGCTGAAGCCTCAGCCCGATCACAGCAGGTCCCCGGGTTGACGAGAGCCACTCCTGTGGCTGAGCCTGTCATGGGACATCTGTGGAGGCTCAGACTGGAAGGGGAGCGATGTAGCCCCTCGTGTCTCTGGCCCTGTCCCTCCTTTCACCCCAGCCCTAGGACACTCACCCTTTGACACAAGTGCAGCTTCACCACCGGCTTCCCCCTCCCGCCCCTCCCAGGAGACCAGAGGACCCACGGGGGACACAGTGGCTGGTCTGAGGTTGTGGACAACAGCGTTGCAGAAAGGGGTCCTGTGGGGAGGGGAGTGTAGCGGGCTTGGGAGGGGTGTGGACGGAGGGTTGTGACTTCCATGGCACCTCCTGGGGGAGGGAGGAAGGGGCTTCTGTTTCCTAGGATCCCTGCCCTCAGTCCTCGGAGACCCCACAGCAACTCTGAGACACCCCTGGGGCACCCTAGCTAGCCACAGAGTGATCTAGAGTGCTGGCACCAGAGGATCCACACCAATAACGTGAAACGTGGGTCTCCTGTGGTTAAGACACGGCCCAGGATCATGACATGGACGCGCACAGCATCCCAGGATGGGCTGAGCTGCCATCCCTCTTGCTAAGTTGGTAAAGAACCCGTGGGAAGTGACCAACGTCCTGACTCTGCTACTACCCGTGATGGGCGCCTTCCCCCAGGTGAGGATGGCCCTTTTCTGGGTTATTTCCAGGAGATCTGGAGCCTTAAACTCGCTCCCTGCCCACCAGCTCCCTTCCAGCTGCCTCCTCGAGCACCTGGCCTGTTTTTGGGGAGATAAAATTATTTTTGTATTGAATCAGACAATTGCAAACTGATGAAGAGATTCAGGGTGGGGGTGGGTGGGGAGCTGGAGTACTTCAACAGGTTCCAGCATCTTCGGGCCAGGCCCAGCCAGACTCAGTTGAGTGTCTTTGAGAACCGGGATTTCCGGGATTTTCTAGAGGAAAAGCTAAGTGAGAGGGAACATTTTTCTTCTTCTTTTATTTTTTTGAGGAAGATCAGCCTGAGCTAACCGCTGCCAATCCTCCTCTTTTTGCTGAGGAAGATTGGTCCTGAGCGAACATCTGTGCCCATCTTCTACTCTCTATGTGGGACGCCTATCTCAGCATACCTTGCTAAGCGGTGCCATGTCCGCACCCGGGATTCGAACCGGTGAACCCCGGGCCACCAAAGCAGAACGTGTGCACTTGACCGCTATGCCACTGGGCCGGCCCCAAGAGGGAATGTTTTTCAAAGTGAAATTGTGCCAGGCTTTCCCTGACAAATTGCAAAGACTTAGGGACTGTCCACTGTTTTGGGAGATTTCCCCCTCGGGCCTTGGCATGAGGCCTTGTCCTGGGTAGCCGGGCTCGGGGTCCTGCCCCAAAGGTGAGCTGTGTTGTCTGCTGGGATTCTGACACACCTGGGCCTGCCTGGGGTCCTGGCAGGTGGGTCACTATGAGATAGACTGTGGGGCCTCCTGTCTGAGCCTCATCCTGAGGGACGAGGATGGACAAGGCCTGAACACAGCCGGATTTCAGGAACCATCTGCTAGAGTGCTGGCTGTGCGAGCTCAGCCCTGTGGGACGCTGAGTGGGGCCTGAGGAGAGGGCGGGAAGCTGCCCTGGGCTGAGACCCCGAGACAAGGAGTTGAGTGAAAGGTGACCCCAGGGAGCACCAACAGGGGAGTGGGAGATGAGACAGGGAAGGACAGGCAGCCAAGAAAGGGCCGTTAATGAGTGAGGCTGCACTGTGGGCATCTGAGGGTCGCTCCTGTTGGAGACGATGGGAGACAGTGTGGGCCAGGCCTCACAGATGGCCCCCTGAGGGGTGCATATCCCCCGACTAGAATCCATCACAGGCTGAGGGCTATTCTGGGGGCACCAACACCTCGACACTTCCAGCCTGCCTAGTAGGCCTCAGGGGCGGGGCCCAGGAAGGACAGTCACAGGGGGCCCAGCAGGTACTGGGAGAGTGAGGGCCGGGGATATGGGCAAGGCTCCTGCAGTGTCCGCTGCACCAGCTCAGGAGAGACAGAGGTGGCGTACTTATACCCAGAAATAGAGACGCCTCCTGTATGGGCCTATAGAGGGAGGTCGGTCTTATCAGGATTTGAATGAGGGGTAAACTGAGGCCCCCAGACGGCCTGAGAATGGCCCTGGCTTATACAGCCCATCCCTTATAAGACTAGACCAACCAAAGCCTTCTGCCAACTGAGCTGTGCTTGGTCAGCCTTCCCCCTCCCTCTGCGCCCCCCCAGAAGGCAGGCTGTGGGAATGGGGAGAACGGGAAACCTCCCATTCACATCCCTCCAACAAGGGCTGCAAGGAGCAAAGACAGAGAAGTGCATCTGCCATGATCTTTATTTCTCAGGCTTCTCTGACCTGAGTGGGGCTTCTGGAGGTTTGACTTGGGACACATTTTCTCCTGGCTGGTCCCCTTCAGCCTTGGGGGCACCTGGGGCAGAGGGAGGGGGTACCTTTTTTGAACCTCCCAGCAAGGCCCCAAAAGTTGACCCAGCAGAGGCCAGGAGGATGTTGGATGACGTGGAGAGTCCAGCTGCCCCTGAGGAAGAGACAGAGGGTGGGCACAGGGAGCGTGCAGTGGTCAGAGGCCTGGGCCCCTCAGGAGGCCCAGAGATCCTACCTGGGCCTTCCTCTAGGTACTGACACCCCCGGGGGCTCCACTTTGGGCAGAGGATGCTGGGGACTGAGAGGGAGAAGAGAGGGGTGAATTCATGGGAAGTGAGAGACATGGGAAGAGGAGAGTCAGCCACAGACCCCAAGAGCTACGGGGTCCCTCACTTTACACAGGAAGCTAGGAGGCTCAGAGAGGGGAGGGGTCCTGCCTAGGCCACCCAGCTGTCAGATTTGGGTAGGGCTGGATCCACAGCTCTGGGCTCCTTCCCTTCTTCTCCCTTCAGAACCCCTCACCCCTCTCCTCCCACCTCAAACCTCACTCAGAAGGAGCCAGAAAGAGGACAGTGAGGGAGAGACCAAGCAGGGATGCTGAGGACCCTGGAACTGGAGGGAGGGGCCAGGCCCTCCCTCAGGCTTAGCCTCTGAGCTGAATCCCCTCCTGGCTCTGGCCTCCTCTCCCTCCTCCTCCTGCCGGGCACACTCACCCACGGACTGTAGAACGGCCACCAGGCTGCCTGGAGCAACGCCACCCCCGTTGGCGATGGCGGCTGCGGACATCATCTTGGCTGCTATGGAGGAGGCAGCAATTCCTGCCCCCGTGAAGCCCATGGCGCCCAGCACCAGGGGCACAGCCCCCACGGCCAGGGCTGTAGGGGGAGAGGACCTGGTTCAGAGCATGGGCTCAAGAGAACAGACCCCTTAGGAATTCCCTGACTTCTTCTGGGGACTGTCTCCTCTGAGCATAAGGGAGACAGCAAGTTGGAGAAGGGTCCCAAGGGGTGTGAAGCCAGTTGGGGGCAAAGAAGTCATAGGAGGCCCAGGCATAGCCCTGGTTGGGTCTCTAACTTGCTGTGTGACACTGAAGAAGTCACTAACCCTCACTGGGCCTCAGGTGTGTGTGTATATTTGTGGGATTAAATAAACCATTGCTGTTTTTAGCAAGGAACCCCCTTTCAAATGAAATCTTCTGTATGTGCTCATTATACAAAAGGACTAGAGGAGCAGGGCGTGGGGGATGGAGATGACCTCTCCCGCAGGAGTATTGTGAGTATCGCTCTGTAGCCCCTAAGATTCATCCAGGCAGCTCTGGGAGTGGAGTGGCTGATGGTGGGCCAGCCCTCATAACCCCTGCAGCGCTGGGTCTCTAAGTTCTCCATCCATCCCAGGACCTGGGGCCCAGCAAAGGTGTGGGGACTGAGGGCATCCAGATAACTCACCTCCTCCGATTGCAGCAGCAGCCGCCCGTTCTTGGGAGACAAAAAGGTTGAGAGACAGTCAGCTAGTTAGATGGTTGAGGGAGTGAGGGAAGGAAGCGACTCCTCTGGCCCTTCGTGGATTGGGGTCCGGGAGGCCTGCCCCCTGCCCAGGCCGCCAGCCCCGCGGGAGAGCCCGACTCACTTATCATGGCGAGGCCCTCCTCGTCCAGCGCAGCTCAAGAAATGACTAAGCTCCGTTGGGCGTTAATTCCCAGTGAACCAATCGGGACACGGCCGGCCCCTCGCAGCTCCTCAGCCCTATCAAAACGCAGGAACACGCCTTCTACCCGCGCCCGCTCCACCCCACAACCGTCTGTCTGCCTGTCCGCTCCCCTCCCCGTCCCGCGCTCGCCCATTTTTGCTCGCCCACGCGAAGCCCCCCTCAACTCGTCCGTCTTTGCTCGCCCGCCCCCACAGTCGCCCATCTTTGCTCGCCTGCGTCCACCCCACCCCGCCCGGCGCTCGCCCATCCTTGCTGGCCCGCCCCCCCACCTCCCATCTTTGCTTGCCCGCCCCCCCCACCGCACTCTCCCATCATTGCTCCTTCTACCCGCGCCCGCTCCACCCCACAACCGTCTGTCTGCCTGTCCGCTCCCCTCCCCGTCCCGCGCTCGCCCATTTTTGCTCGCCCACGCGAAGCCCCCCTCAACTCGTCCGTCTTTGCTCGCCCGCCCCCACAGTCGCCCATCTTTGCTCGCCTGCGTCCACCCCCCCCCGCCCGGCGCTCGCCCACTTGCTGGCCCGCCCCCCACCTCCCATCTTTGCTTGCCCGCCCCCCCACCGCACTCTCCCATCATTGCTCGCCGGCGTCCACCCCGACCCCCCACTGGCCCACCTGTGCTCGCCCGCGTCCACCCCACCCCCGCCCCGCGCTCGCCCATCATTGCTCGCCGGCGTCCACCCGACCCCCCACTGGCCCACCTGTGCTCGCCCGCGTCCACCCCACCCCCCCCCGCGCTCGCCCATCATTGCTCGCCGGCGTCCACCCCGACCCCCCCACTGGCCCACCTGTGCTCGCCCGCGTCCACCCCACCCCCGCCCCGCGCTCGCCCATCATTGCTCGCCCGCGTCCACCCCGACCCCCCCACTGGCCCACCTGTGCTCGCCCGCGTCCACCCCCCCCCCCCCCCCG